GTTCTTTTATTCCCCTTAGTCTACAGTTACATTTCTTTTTCTGTTCAGAGAGGGTCTCTATGTAGTTCTGGCTCCCTGGAGCTCACTGTGTAGACCAGGCTGGCCTTGAACTCACAGAGACCCTCCTACATCTGCCATTGTTTACTTTGGGTGAAAATACAGCACCCTAAACTGCCCCAAAGATGGTAAGATCACGCTGGGCGTTGGTGGCACATGCCTTTAATCCCTGCACTCGGGAGGCAGAGGCAGGCGGATCTCTGTGAGTTTGAGGCCAGCCTGGTCTCCAGAGCGAGTGCCAGGATAGGCTCCAAAGCTACACAGAGAAACCCTGTCTCGAAAAAAAAATCAAAAAAAAAAAAAAAAAGATGGTAAGATCACAATGTTGTATTGTTGCCTCCTCCTACAATGAACACCAGTAATCTTAGCACCCTGGGGGGTGGAGGGAGGAGGAGCAGAAGTTCAAGGTCATCCTAGGCTATAATGGAGGCCACCCAGGGCTTCCGGTGCTTCTGTCTCAAAGTCAAGTCTTTTTTTCTAATGATTTATTTTCATTTCTTATGTCCATTGCTGTTTTGCCTACATGTGTATCTGTATGAGGGTGTGGGATGCCCTACAACTGGAGTTAACAGACAGTTGTGACCTGCCACGTGGGTGCTGGGAGTTGAACCCCAGTCCTCTGGAGAAAGCAGCCAGTGCTCTTAACCACTGAGTCTCCAGCTCCTCAGCATCAAATCTTTTAAGAGTTAATCCAAATGGGCCTGACAAGACCTTTACTGAAGGTAAAGAAGGCACCAGAAGTCTCTCCCTAGATCTAGCTGTTTACAGATCTTCACTGCTAAACTTGTCCTCTTTTTTTTCTGTTAACTCAAAACCAAAAGAAACTAAAAACCAAAACCTAATGTTTTCTTTTATCCTTTTTCATCTCCCCCTCTCTCCCTTTTTCAGATAGTGGTCAGAATTCTTAGCCATTTACCCTGATTCTTTAACAGAAGACCCCCCCACCCCACCCCAGGGCAGCTGCTTGTTTTTGTATATGTACATTACTGAGCCTGTCTTCTTACAATTGAGAGCATGACTTTCTTCTTATCCGGCTTCCTCCTTCTGGCTGCCTATCCTATTTTTTTTTTCTTTTTTTTCTCAAATCCTAATAAAATGCCGGGCAGTGGTGGCGCACGCCTTTAGTCCCAGCACTCTGTGAGTTCGAGACCAGCCTGGTCTACAAGAGCAAGTTCCAGGACAGCCTCCAAAGCCACAGAGAAACCCTGTCTCGAAAAACAAAATCCTAATAAAATGTCCTCAAGCTTTCTCCTGAGCATTTGTACATACCTCTATCTACAAGACTAAGAACTCACCAAAGTGACCTGTGTTCCTTTTTGACAGGGGGAGCGTCTGAGGGCCTCAACCTAGGGAGGAATGGGTGAGCACCAGAACTGTGGGGGATTGGGCAAGGGCCTGGAATGTATTTGGGAAACAGCTATTTTTTGAAGCGTCCTTGTGTTGGTGAGGCTTCCACCTACAGATGGACGGGATCATTACTTCCATGGACAGACAGGAAGTTGAGTACTAAGCTCGGCGATGTGGACTGATATAGAGGCTACAGAGCTGAGTGAGCCCAGTGCCCAGGCTGGAGCTGTTAGAGTCTAGGCATAGAATAGAAAGGATGACAGCTCCTAAGCTTAACAACCAATACTGGGGGCATGGGGGGAAAGTGGTTCCCAAAGTGTGGTTCCCAAATCAGCAGCCTATAAATAATTCTCAAGGCTTATCCTCAGTCCCAGGGCTCTGGAACACACACACACACACACACACACTTGTGTGTGTGTGTGTGTGTGTGTGTGATACCTCCCTCCCTACTGTGATGCTAATGTGCTCAAGTTTGGACAAGCTGGGTCTGAACATATCACCAGAGCACAGAAGTCCAGCTGTCCAGCCCAGACTTCACAGAGGTATGAGAGAAAAATTAGTGTGCACATAGGCTAGTCAAAACAAGAGTGCAGCCGGGCGTCGGTGTTGCATGCCTTTAATCCCAGCACTCGAGAGGCAGAAGCAGGAGGATCTCTGTGAGTTCAAGACCAGCCTGGTCTACAAGAGCTAGTTCCAGGACAGCCTCCAAAGCCACAGAGAAACCCTGTCTCCAAAAACAACAACAACAACAACAACCCCCCCAAAAAAAACCAAACAAACCAGAGTGCAGCTGGGCATTGATGGCACACACCTTTAATCCCAGCACTGGGGAGGTAGAGGCAGGTGTATCTTTGTGAGTTTGAAGCCAGCCTGGTCTACAGAGCAAGTGCCAGGATAGGCTCCAAAGCTATCCAAAGCTAGAGAAACCCTGTTTCGAAAAAACAAAAACAAAACAAAAAAACAGAATAATAAAAAAAAAAAACCCCAAACCAGAGTGCAGCAGATTGAACTGCACTAGTAAGAAACTAGTATGAATTGCAGCGGGAACTTCAGCAAGTCCTTGCAAACCTGGGCTATCAAAATGGTCTTCTAGGTGGAGCTAAATGGGCCCAGTCCACAGCTCAGACAAATGGGGCCTGTTCTAGTCCATCTTAGCCCTGCCTCCCTCTGAGCTGTGTCCTGTGGGAGAAAATCAGTACAGATGTCTCTCCACAGCCAGCTTTCCCTAGGGAACTGAGCTAGAGAGCCCCGTTCCCCCAGGGAGATTATGGCTGGTCTCTAAATTGGAAACAAATTAAAGGAGATAAAGAAACTGGGAAGAAACCCAGGAAGAAACTCCCTAGTCTGGCCTCTGTAGGCCCCGCTTTTTACTGAGGCAATGCATTTGAGAAAGCAGGAGACCTGATAAGCAAGGATACCTTTTCTTTCTTGAAAACTTCAAAAAGTGGGTCTCAGCAGTTGTTCTTAAAGTAGAAAAGGGTTGCCAGGCTGTGTTGGCACACACCTTTAATCCCAGCACTTGAGAGGCAGAGGCAGGCAGATCTCAGTGGCTAACCTTGCCTACAAAGAGTTCCAGGACAGCCAGGGCTGTTACACAGAGAAACCCTGTCTTGGGAGAAAAAAAAAAAGGAAGTGGATTTGGTTCTGCTGTCTTCCCAGCTAGATTCTTAGCTAAACAGATGCTAGCCATTGAGTGTTTTCTTTCTTCCTTCCTTCCTTACTTTCTTTCTTTTTTTTTTTTTTGAGACAGGGTTTCTCTGTGGCTTTTAGAGGCTGTCCTGGAACTAGCTCTTGTAGACCAGGCTGGTCTCGAACTCACAGAGATCCACCTGCCTCTGCCTCCTTAGTGCTGGGACTAAAGGCGTGTGCCACCAATGCCCCGCTTTTAATTTTTGTTTGCTTTTTTTTTTTTTTGCCATTGACTGTTTTCATGATAAATCCTGGAATGAGAGGAGAGGAGGAGAACCCCCCCAACCCCCACCCTGCCCTGGGTTAGGCTGGCAGGTGCTGGTCCCTGTGTTGGAAGTGCAAGAATGGCACTTATGGATAGTGGGCCATCTTTCCAGATGCCTCAAGGGGCAACGTTGCAGAGAGCCTGTGGCCTTCTCAGGAACCAGATGATGTGCACATCAGGTCCTGTCCAGGGGCTTTCTCCCCCTGTCTTCCTGTCACTGTCTCCGCTGCTTAGGTGCAGGCATGGCTCAATGTCATTTCTCACTCAATGCTCAAGCCAAGCTCTGACACCACCTGTTTCTTCATGTCAACAGTTTCCACTTCTGAAAGGGCCATCATGCTACCTCGGAACAGGTTTTTGAGTAACTGATGCCTGCTCCATGTGCACCAGGACACCCGGGGAAGTTGTTTACTGCTAAAGGAGGAGAACCACCATTTTGTCTAGCCTTGAACTTCCTAGCTGCCCATTCTCTAGGTCTCCCACGAGGAGCAGTCTCCAGGTCCTTGGACTAGCAGGGAGAGACAGGTCCCCAAGGGAAGCATGCTTGAGGACAGAGGGCTTTGGTTTTCAGCAGGGCGAGACCTCTGGATTTGAGGGCTTGCAGGTGGAGGACGACATATACATACACTCCAGCACTGTGGGCCCCCAGAACTGACCGGACACTCGCTCACGTGCTTCCATTCTGCTTGCAGGAATGGAAGCTGTGGGTGCAGAGACTCATCACCTCCCACGTGGAGGGCGGAAGAGGCGGTGTTGACCACCACAAACTCGCCTCAGGTGGCCAGGCAGTTCTAGCAAGTGTGCGCTTGTTGCCGAGTGGGCGTGGTAAACAGGGCGGGGCATGAAGGGGCGGGATCTGATCATGCTCGGGCTCACCACCCTGCACAGGTGAGCGGGACCGGAAGGCAAGGGAGGGGCTTAAGGAACAGCTTAGACTAGAAAGGTGGAGCCGGGCAGAAAGGGGCGTGGTCTTCCTGGGAGGGGCGGGATTCTGAAGAGAAGTGCACAGACAGGTGGGGCCTGTTGAAGGGGTGGGGCAAAGGAGAACCCTCCCTCCTCAGAG